CCAGGATGACGCGTCTTGGGACAGGAAACCTGATATTATATGCTGGAGGTGCAGACAGCCGGGACATATCAGAGCGCGATGCAGGGTAAATATGGATCACTCGCGCAGTTCGGTAAAAGGGAAGGAGTCTATGAAGACGGACCACTCATAGATTTCCGAATTCAAGGTCCGAACAAGAGTACTAAGGCTACTAGGACAGGAACACAAATGGTTGGCAATGCTAATGAAGTTGATGTCAACGTAGAAGGTAAGGGGACCAGGGCGTTACTTGATACAGGTGCGACCGTGTCTACGGTTAGCCAACATTTTTATGAATGTCATCTGAGTCATTTGGACCTGCAGCCACTGGATGAAATTCTTTCTATAGAATGTGCTGATGGTCAACAGTTACCTTACTCCGGATTTATCGAAGCGGGAGTCAGTTTTGAAGGACTATTTGGAAGAGATGAGCAGAGGTGTCTTTTGCTGGTAGTCCCCAACAGCAACTATAACTCCAAGGTACCAGTGTTGTTTGGAACCAACGTTCTGTCGGTATTGTTGGAAGGGTGTCGAAGCAGGAATGGACCGAAGTTCTTGCAGAAGGGATTGGATACTCCATGGTTTTTAGCATTTCGCTGTATGACATTGAGGGATCGGGATTTGGTGAGAAATCGCAACAGCATTGGCCTCGTCAAGAATGCAGGAAACATGGATTGCGTCCTTAGACCGAACTCTACTATCACCCTGAAGGGATACGTAGACCAGCGGAGCGCCTATCCAACTACCTGTGCTATCATGCAGCCCACGGAACGATCCAAGCTGTCCAAGGATATTGATGTTACACCTACAGTGTTTTTATATGACTGCGACAGTACACATCCATTGGACGTTAAACTATCAAATCTGACAGCACATACGTTTATCATTCCTCCAAAGGCAATTGTATGTGAGATACAGCCAGTGATTGTCCAGGAACTTCCTACTGTCGATGGAGAGGTGAGAGTACCGAAGTCATTTATGGATAAGATAGACCTCATTAATTCAGCTGTTTCGGAGGAGGAACTACAGCTAGGAACGAAACTCTTTCAGGGATACGAGAATATATTTTCACACGGAGATACTGACCTCGGGTGTACTAATCTCGTGAAACATCGAATCGATTTGACGGATCCAGTTGCTTTTAAACAACGCCATAGAAGGATACCACCTTCTATGTATGACGAAATAAAGACTCATCTTCAGCAACTTTCGTCTGCGGGAGTCATCAAACCATCCTACAGTCCTTGGTCATCAAACATTGTTCTGGTGAGGAAGAAAGATGGATCATTGAGGATGTGTGTGGATTTCCGACAGCTAAATCAACGCACCATTCGGGATGCATACGCGTTACCACGAGTAGAGGACATCCTGGATTGTTTAGCTGGATCACACTACTTTACTGTACTGGATTTAAAGTCGGGGTATCATCAGGTTGAGCTAGAGGAAGAACATAAGGAGCGAACTGAATTTACCGTCGGCCCACTGGGGTTTTATGAGTTCACGAGGATGCCTTTTGGACGCTCCTGCGACGTTTCAGTGCCTGATGGAGAGATGCATGGGAGACCTACACTTAGCTATTTGCCTGATATACCTGGATGATATAATATTTTTTTCGCGTACTTATGAGGAGCACCTGGAACGACTAGGAAAGGTTTTTCAGAGACTCAGAGACAACGATTTGAAGCTTGCGCCTAAGAAATGCCAGTTCTTTATGAACAGAGTTGCCTATGTTGGACACATCGTCACACCGGAAGGCATTGAGGCAGATCCCAAGAAGATTGAGAAGGTACGAGACTGGCCGACACCGTCTAATCCGGAAGAACTACGCCAATTCCTAGGTTTTGCTGGTTACTACAGGAAGTTTGTAAAGGATTTTTCAAAGATTGCGAGACCTTTGACTGACCTGTTACCACCGACCAGAGTAAAGAAGAACAAAGGAAGGACAAAGACGAAGATAAATGGCGTTAAGTGGACATGGGCATCGGAGCATGATACACCGTTCAACGGCCTGACGGAAGCGTTATGCAATCGACCTGTGCTTGGATATGCTAACTACAGTCAGCCGTTTGAGCTTCACACCGATGCAAGTACCTTAGGACTAGGAGCCGTTCTATATCAAGAGCAAGATGGACAGTTACGACCTATTTGCTACGCCAGTCGAGGATTGAGCAAGTCGGAGAGGAATTAACCGACTCATAATCTGGAATTCCTGGCGTTAAAATGGGCGGTTACCGAAAAGTTCCATGACCATCTATATGGACAGACGTTCACCGTTTTAACGGACAACAACCCGCTGACCTACGTTTTGTCGAAAGATAAGCTTGACGCGACGGGACATATGTGGTTATCCGCTCTAGCGGCATACAACTTTGATATTAAGTATCGACCAGGACGGAACAACGCAGACGCAGACGCTTTGTCGCGGCTTCCGGGATGTAACATATCATCAGAATCTGTCCAAGCCGTCTGTAAAGGAGCAACATTTTGTAATGGATCATTGGTGGAAAGCTTGAGCCTATCAACAGAGGTACTGGATATGCTTGATGTTGATGACGAACATGGTTTCCAAACCATGACACCCCACCAGTGGCGAACTCTTCAGGCGGAGGACGAGGTTATTGGGGAATGGCTACCCATCATAAGGAAGAATCTGAAGCCAACACGGAAGAGGTTATCAGCTATACCAGAAAACGCTACCCTTTACAGATGCTGGGATAACTCGAAACTGAAACGTGGTGTGCTATATAGACGGGTATCTGATGGTGAGGCAGATGTGGACCAACTTGTACTTCCGGTTGCCATGCGAGAGAAGGTCCTGACGTCATTACACAATGACACTGGCCATCCTGGAAGGGATAGGACATTATCTCTGCTGAGAGATAGATTCTTTTGTCCTGGTATGACCAAAGATGTGGAAAGGTGGTTGAAGGAATGCCAGAGATGTCTACTCAGGAAATCGTCGACTAGCATTAGGGCTCCTTTAGTCAGCATTGTTACCACCCAACCTATGGAGTTGGTATGCATGGACTTCTTGAAACTAGAGGCGTCGAAAGGGGGGTTTCAAGATGTTTTAGTAATCACCGACCAATTGACAAGGTACAAAATGTATGCCAAAGTCATTCCAACTCGAAGTCAGTCGGCTAAAGCAACAGCGGAGGCTTTGCAGGGATTTATTGAACATTACGGAATTCCGCGGAGATTACATTCCGATCAAGGAGCTAACTTCGAGGGGAAAGTAATAGAAAGGTTGTGCGACACATTTCATATTACTAAATCGAGAACGACACCATATACCATCCTAGCGGAAATGGAATGTCCGAACGCTTCAACAGGACCCTTATCGACATGTTAGGCACATTGGAACCGCATCAAAAGAAAGACTGGAAGAGCTTTGTGGGTTCGCTCACATATGCGTACAGCTGTACACGGTATAAGACAACGGGTTATTCGCCATTTCAGCTGATGTTTGGACGACAGCCACGATTGCCCGTTGATCTATTGTGTGGAGTAAACGAGGAAATTACCCCATCTAGCACGCCGGATTATGTAAAAAAAATGAGGAACCGCGCGTAAACAGGCTCGGGAATCGCAGAGTCGTCAGAAGGCAGGCTACGATCTACGTTGTGGAGAAGCCGTTTTGGAACCGGGTGACCGCGTTCTTGTTAAGGTACTTGCCTTTGAGGGACGTCACACGCTAGCGGATCGCTGGGAGCCTGACTATACATCGTACAGAGTCAATCCAACATTGACATTCCGGTATACACCATACTTCGAGAGAGTGGTGAAGGAAAGAGTAGAACTTTTCACAGAAACCATCTACTTCCAATTGGAACTATACCGGTGGAAGTAGATACGGTACCCATTGCACATCCACCTCGGCCGGTACCTCGTGTTGTCTATGTATAGAATTCCTAGTGTTGAATGTAGGGTAAATTACCTGGTGAACTGGTCACTTTGAACAGAGCGGCCAGAGCGAGCACAACGAACATCTTGTACTTACACCTATATCTTTACCTAGCCAGCATAGGAATTAAAAGAGGTAGCGGGCACTAGAGCCAAAAGCAATAAACGTAAGTACCCGTGTATAATTATTAATCTAATTCATTATAGTATCTATTGAAAAATATATTTAATTAACGTAATAAAAAAAAATAAAAAAAAAGTTAATATTTGAAAGTCTTTGTAAATTTAGAAATCGGGCGTGGTCAATTTAGTAGACAAGTGATTTCGAAGAAGCAAGTTTTTAATATATATTGTTTCCTTTTTATAGTATTCATTGAACGAGTAAGACAAAGGACTCGACGGGCTTTGTCCGAGAAAACACTCTTCACATTGAAGAGGTGGGTATTTTAATATATTTGTAATTATGCTGTATTTCTATATAATATATAGACTGGATGTCAGTTTGTAAAATACGTATTCCACTATTGTAACTTATGTAATGCTACGGCCAGGTAGTTGTTTGACATGTCTTAGCTTTCTGGTTGTATAAATGTTATATGTATAGTAATATGATGTATTTCATGTTACAGGGTTTTTACTTACGTAATAAATTAACTAAGAAAAGAACCCATGAGTTGTCGTATATCCACGATAAAAGACGACTATTACAATAAAGAGTATTAGAATTTTATTCTGAGCCCTAAATAAGTGGTTTTGTGTTTAATCCAAGGCATACATAAAGGCAGAGACGTCTTATATTACAGAGAATACTGTATATATACATTTGTACGTCTCTGATAAAGGCTTTTACAATATGAATATCCAAATTGATTTGTTCTAATTCAACCAGTTGTTAACGGTAACATCTTATTTGTGTAGTGTATGATATTATAATCATAAAAAAATGTCTCCGATTTTCATTACTTTATTTTGTATTTTAAAAAAAGTGTCACGTGAAGTTTGGAAAACGAAAGTAGGATATAAATAGGCTGTTAGTACAGTATTTGAAAATCAAGCGTTTCATTAACCCTGAACGTTTATTTATCCGATAGGAAAACAACGTGTCAGCTGTATGCTCCACGTTTAGTCTGTGATTTCAAGTAAGATAATAATACGGTAAAAAGATCATCAGACAGGAAGAGATTTTTTTTAACTGGACCTCCACAAAAACCGAGAGAGGATAGAAACGGGGCGATGGATATAGGAAACATGGAGCCCGTGCATGTAAACGAGATTCAAGGAGTGTGGTTGTACTTGAAACAGGTACTACATCTGTACATGTGCACATAATGTACAGTAACTGTTATAAACATCAAAATAATAATTTATATGTATAACAGCTCGGATGGTGTTGCTTGAGTGGCATGCATTCAGAACTCGCACCGCAACAAATGTACTCAATATTTTGAGTTCTGTTAAAGGAAGAAAAATATGATTTCAGAAAAACTTCTAAAACTAGAATCTAAATATCATTATCTTCCTGCACAGGAGCTGACCTTAAGGGGTGGGCTGCTCCAGCGACATGGTGGCCATGTCATCTTTAAATATAATTGTATAACATACCTAGTTGATGACAAAGAAGATCATATATTTTGATTTAGGCTATTGCACATGTAAATGTACAAAAAATGAACTTAAATTAAAAGGAATGCTCTAATGCACATGTACTTATAACAATATAGTCTAGCACTGCTACACTTTTACAAATCCACTGTGATAGAACTTTTGATCATACAACTCCAAAACAATATCAACAGTAACAATTGCTAACAAGTCAAGAAGCTTTATTTAACGTCGCATATACATGTAACATAATAACATTAGCACTGTAGTGCTATTCTTGCTACAAAAACATGTCATCTTGTGCCCAGATATTCTGATAGATAAAATTACACTGCAACTACTGACAATCCGCACATTTTTTTTTTTTTAAAGATTCCTTCCCCATTGCAGGCCAAACAATAGAGAATTCGTGTAAAAGAGTGGATTAAACAGGTTGCCTTACAAACTTCAGCTGTAGGGAATTTCCCTTTAGCTAAGCGGTAGAGCATCGGGCTGGAAAGCCAAGGGTCGCGGGTTCGAGCCCCAGCAACAGCACTATCTTTATCACTATTCCCCGTCCTATTACGATTCGTCTTGTTTATATACCCCCTGCAAAAAGAAATGAAGAGGTATATATAGGAATCACTCTGCCTGTCCATGGATACATCTCTTAAGGTTTTCCTTCGATTTTATTCATAACGTTGTGATTTGATTTTATATCTCTGCAAACAAAGTTTGAATACCTAGATGAGATGAGGTAGGGGGATCGAATATCTTTGTGAGCTCGACTCACCGTTTTTAGTTTGTTATGCAGTAACCTCCAATTAATTCAATTTTACAATAATTGTAGTGCACGGGGGTTATGGTATTTCTATTGACCACGCAGCTCAGTCGGTTCAATCAACAAATAGAACAATCTTGAGGTCTAGGGTTGGAATGTCTCACTGAGTGATTCCATGTCGGGTGACCGGGACCAGGCTTAATGTTTACACTTGGTTAAACTATATTGTTGATTGTTTCATCTTTATTGTATTTTCATAAAAGTTCTGCATGACATATTTTTTTCTTTTCATAAACAATTTATCTAGATATTGCCATGCTAGAAATCAGATCCCAATATATTTACAATTATTGGCTGTGCTACAAGGATCCTTAATATTTGTTCAAAGGTTGTTCATTTCTTTGCAGATTGACTTCAGCGAGCCTTGGTTTACAGGACTGGGTATTTTCCATTTGACATGTTTCATGATAACGGCGAGTACGAGGAACAGCTCGATGCTGCAGTGTTTACACTTCATGGTTTTGTGTAAGTAGACTGAAGGGTAACAGATTTACAGGTATACAAGGTCTGAAGGAAAATATTATTTGCTTCCTTTAAAGAACTTACCTGCTTAAATACCCCTCTACCAAGATTGCACTGCTGTACGTAACTCTGCTAGATTTAAACTAGAAACAATGTAAAAAATGATTTAATTGGTATTTTTTTTATATAAAATGATTACTTTACCTTGCTTTGACAGTGTTGACTTGAGGGCTGTTAAGGAGGAAAACAGTAGTTAAATGAAATTACCTGGTATTTTGGGCAAATTTCCTCACACTCATTTTGGCCGTTATTATATATAATATATTGGCAGACTCAAGATAAATACAATAGTTGGTTTTCATATTGGTCTCTTTTTCAGTGTTATTGGTATTTTTTGCTGAGATGATAAATGAATGGGCAGCTAACAATTGGAAGTAAGTACTATCTGAGGAACTACAGTGAAAGATAAACCAGGCGCTCCTCTACACACCTGTCCTGAGAATGTGCTGGTAGTCTGGGGAAATTGTCTCAATATTTGGGTATCCATGCTCAAGTGCAGCAGCCCACTGTATAACCCACTAACTTTTGGACTGGTGTTGGCTCTATTTTCCTGTTTAATGTTTGAGAAGGATGTACATTTGTAGGAATAGACACTTTGTAAACAAAGGTTTCACCTAGAAAAAAACCCGAATGAATTTGATAAGAGGGAATTCAAAATTTCCAATTCTTGCATGACCAATCAGTTTTGAGCATTCTCCCATGCATGTATGAAGAAGGTATAGTAATTGATATTGTAGCCCTGAAAAACATTTCTTTCTGAAGACAAGGCTACCCTTAAAAGCACTCTCCATTTTTTAGCTCACCTGTCCGAAGGGCAAGTGAGCTTATGTCATGGTGTGGCGTCCATCGACCTACTTTCAAAGTCAAAGGGGTCAAATATGTCAAACACTTCAAATGACTTCTTCTGAAGAACTGAAAGGTATAGAATCTTCATATTTCGCTCCTTGCTTCCTGGGATAGAGCTCAATAAAGTTTGTGAAGGAAAACGACCTTGACCTACTTTCAAGGTCACAAGTGTCAAATATGTCAAACATTTCAAACGACTTTTACTGAAGAACTGAAAGGAATAGCATCTTCATATTTGGCTGGTAGCTTCCTTGAATAGAGCCCAACAAAGTTAAAGAATGAAAATGACCTTGACCTACTTTCCAGGTCACTTGGGGTCAAATATGTCAAACACTTCAAACAACTTCTTCTGAAGAACTGAAAGGTATAGAATCTTCATATTTGGCTGGTTGCTTCCTGTGATAGAGCCAGACAAAGTATAAAAAAAAAAAATGATCTTGACCTTCTTACAAGGTCACAGGGGTCAAATATGTCAAACAATTAAACTACTTCTTCTGAATAACCTTAGAGCATAGTTTTATAATATTTAGCTGGTAGCTTCCTGGGATGGCCCCTAACAAAGTTTGAAAATGAAAATAACGTAGATTTGCCTATAAGGTTGCAGGGGTCAAATATGTCAAACAACTTCTTAACTTAAGAAGAACCAAAAAGCATAGAATCATATAATAATATTTTGCTGATAGTTTCAACAGATGGAGCCAACAAAATTTGCGAGGGAAATATTTGTAGTACAGGATAATATTCAATGAGAATATTTTGCTATGACTGCTTAAACATTCAGGTGAGCAATAAAGGTCCTCTGGGCCTCTTGTTTACAGGTAGAAAATAACAATCATAAAACTCCATATGTAAACACATTTTGAAAAGCGCTCCAGATATGAATCAGGTCACTTTAACTGACTTGGTTCAAACTTTGCATTCGGCTCCATTACTGTAATGCTCCGATGCAAAGAATCATCAAAGCAAGTTCGTATATTGATTCATCTTAAGGAATATTCCTCAGTATCTTAGATGTAGGTCACTGGTACTGTGGCTTGCCTGCCGTACTGTTTTTAGTTAGACTTTGTCTTTACCCTGTAGCTCCATTTGATTGGTTATTATTTGCATTTAGACTCCATGTCCATTAAAGTAGAAGTGTGGGTATACGTGTATGTTTTCCTTCGTGCTCATCTACAAATGTACATTATCTTGTTTCTGATACTTGCCCGAGTTTCCTCTGGCCCTGACACCAGACATAGACATTTTGACAGAAAATTGTCTGGTACCAGACGTCTATCTGTCAAAATGTCTAAGTCTGGTGCCAGGGCCAGACGAAACTCTCGGGCTATTCTGATACAGGTTTACTAGATGTACGTTATTGGTAATGTTACATGTGGGATAGACTGAAGTTTTTGTACTGAAATTTCCAAGGTGTTCCTTTGTGAAGCGAATATTTAGTTTGTCGCAATAATATTATTGCCATTCATTAAGAGTAACTTTAACCTTTCCTAAGGGCACTATATGCCTCCGAACTTTAACCTTTCCTAAGGGCACTATATGCCTCCGAACTTTAACCTTTCCTAAGGGCACTATATGCCTCCGAATAGACATTTTCTTTTGAAGTTAAGGGCATGCAGGTTACTGTCGTTATGATGTTCAAGAACTGTAACAAAATTCCCTTTAATTGCAGACTTTTTGCCAGACAGCAGTACTTTGACAGCAATGGTTTATTTATATCAGTCGTGTTTTCCACACCAGTTCTTATCAACTGTCTTGTAATAGTGGTAAGTATAGAGAAATATTCATCATCTATTCTAACAAGAGTGCCTTCCCTCAAGTCATTTTGTTCACCTGCAAACGTGTTCCTAAGTAAAATGATTTAATATAGCAATATATTGTTGTTTTAATGGATGTCTTAAATTTACAATTGTATTTTTTCAGTACTAACATATAGTTGCCTCCCCTTCTAATAATCATTGAACCCAAACAGTTTGTTTAAAATCTAGAGCCTTCTCTATGTAAATGTATTCAGATCTATGGATATTATCTACTATACCAGGGTTTTCTACCTGCCTACAGAGGCTTCAGTCCGCACTAAAACAAACATTTTAACAGGATATTATATTGGATACAACATGAGATACAGGAATAGCTCAACCCATTACTTTTTATGCGGGGACTATGATGACTTTTCTCCATTGATGTAGTTTGCTTGTATGTAAGATATTTGAACCATAAGTATTTTTTTTCTTCACATCCAACGACGTATGACCATTGCTGCTGTGGGTTTTTTCGGTCGTACAATTGTATAAGAGTTATGCCCCTTTACACACTTTGCTGAATTTTCTTTAATTGAGCCAAAATTTCCTGTGAGTCACATTACCAGAGTTATGCCTGAAACTTGGCACATGTCTGGGTTGCTGTTGATGGGGGTATTCTTGTTTAGGCTATATATGTCTATACCACTGCTGAAATACTGCAATTATAAACAATGGCCACTATTTATCAGTCACAATTATAGTTTTGATTTATCATTTCTGTAAAGAAATAACATATACCTTGCATGCTGTTTATAAAAAAATATTGAAAATGAGATAAATAAAAATATATCAAACGTGCTATTATGAATATTAGTATGGCACAGAGCTAGACCAGGATTTAAGTTCAGGACCTCTGATCATTATTGTATGGCAGAACCCTGGCTTAGTCTCTGGCTTCAGTTATAACCAAAGAGCTAACAATCTACAGTGGAACTCTCCAGTGTTTACTGATAGTTATAGTTATCTCGTAGGATTCCTGTCCTACTGATCTCTTAGGATCCCTGTCCTACTGATCTCTTAAGATCCCTGTCCTACTGATCTCGTAGGATCCCTGTCCTACTGATCTCTTAGGATCCCTGTCCTTCTGATCTCTTAGGATCCCTGTCCTACTGATCTCTTAGGATCACTGTCCTACTGATCTGTTAGGATCCCTGTCCTACTGATCTCTTAGGATCCCTGTACTACTGATCTCTTAAGATCCCTGTCCTACTGATCTCGTAGGATCCCTGTCCTACTGATCTCTAGGATCCCTGTCCTTCTGATCTCTTAGGATCCCTGTCCTTCTGATCTTTTAGGATCCCTGTCCTACTGATCTCTTAGGATCCCTGTCCTACTGATCTATTAGGATCCATGTCCTACTGATCTTGTAGGATCCCTGTCCTACTGATCTCTTAGGATCCCTGTCCTACTGATCTTTTAGGATACCTGTCCTTCTGATCTCTTTGGATCCCTGTCCTACTGATGTCTTAGAATCCCTGTCCTACTGATCTCTTAGGATCCCTGTCCTACTGATCTTTTAGGATCCATGTCCTTCTGATCTCTTTGGATCCCTGTCCTACTAATCTGTTAGGATCCCTGTCCTACTGATCTTTTAGGATCCCTGTCCTACTGATCTTTTAGGATCCCTGTCCTACTAATCTCTTAGGATCCCTGTCCTATTGATCTCTTAGGATCACTGTCCTACTGATCTCTTAGGATCCCTGTCCTACTGCAATAACTAAAACTGATCCAGACATTGACGCCCTGTTCACATTACAGGTATTATGGCTGAAGGACATGAGTTTTATGATGTCTGAGACCAGGCTACTTAGAATGACACGAAAAGAGGATGCAAATGCAAAGAAACAGGGCGCAGAGGAAAGCAAGAAGGACCAGTGAAAAGTGCCTGGAAAACCAGAGGATCATGTCTAGACTATGGATAATATATAGCTCGCGTGACATCCATATTAGCGTCCATTAGTGCTAATGACTGATCGTGGACTTAGGTATGACGCAAACAGCTGTATAGCAGGGTTAAAAGGAAGGAATTTAAAATACGGCTAGAGGGAGAGACCCAAACACTGAGTTGTTTATATAGTAACCATAGTTACGAAGGTAAAGGACTCGTCATGGGTACAAGTTAAGTCTTTTACAGTCTTTATGGTTCTGGACTCATTTTTGTGGGCAAGTCTTAAATGTTACTATGGATATGGACTCATTGTGTGAGCGAGTCTTACTATGAAACTATGGTTACTTTTTCTGCAAAGACACAACCCGCTAAATACAGAGCCAATAATAATCCCTATCGAGGTCATGTGACAGGGCCACTAGTCCCGAAATACACCCGAAATATATCCCACGACAAGAACACACAAAACATAGGGAAATACGCAAAAAGAAGGGACTGCGAAAAATTACTTTTACAGTAAATTTTGATATTTATTTTATCCTGATATGAGATAATTTGTTAAATTTTGTTCATTTGACGCTAGAGACAAAATTATATCAGGAATAGGTAAAACTCAAAATTAACTGTTCAAGTTCTTTGTCTTCTTCATAGGTTGACGGGTTATATTATAAGGTTTTGCTGATGTACATAGCCTGTAATTTGTCAAAATGTTGTAAATATGTTTAAACTGTTGACTTTATAAAGCCAAAAAAAGATTGCTTTGTTTTTCGTTTTAGATTGCTGTGTTTTTCGTTTTCAGCTTTTCATAATATAATGGTGGGTTGGAGGGTCTAACAGATGTTACGGCACGATTTCTCACCCTGACACGTTTTCTCACCTAGGTGATAAATCGTGTTAGGAATAGGCATATTGTCCGTTGCCATGAGTACGAAGACTGATTTTGATTTTAGGGGATTGTGGTATATTTAGGCTTGGTTTGTTTAGAAACTACTGTGCAAACTTCAAACATTTTCAAACTTTAAACTTGTTCGAACTTCAATTTTTAGCTCACCTGGTGAGCGTATGCCATACCGCAGCGTCCATCGTCCGTCCATCAGTCAACTTTTTCCTTTAAAATGCTTCTTGTCCTGAACGACCCAGTAGATTCGAACTGAATTTGGCCTGGAGCATCCTTAGGCCAAGGGGACTCCATTTTGTTAAAATGGTGGGATTGGACCCCCTGGGTGGAGAGGGGTGGGCCCCAATAGGGGAGATAGAGGTAAAACCTTTAAAACCCTGCTTCTACTGTAGGGACAATGGGGTTTCTATCCTAATTTGGTCTGGAGCATCCTAGGGCAAAAAGGACTTGATCTTGTATAAATGGTGGGTGTGGCCCTTTTGGGTGCAGAATTGCAGGGCTCAATAGGGGAATTTGAGGTTTAATTCTTTAAAATACTTCCTTATTCTTCTGTACAATTGGAGGGAATGTTTGTAATAATTATCCAGGTGAGCGGTTCTGGACCCTTGTTTTATTTTATCTCAACACCTTTGACTTACAATGGTATACAAAGATATGTAACATACACAGATTTAATGTATAAGCATGCGTGGTACGTTGTACAGAGGGATACAAGTATCATAGTAATAGAGGTGTACTGCAGTGACATATAATACATGTAGTCACTAATGATATTCGATGTTAAGTTTCCGAACAAATTTAAATCATGGCCCATCATTTGCTGAGTCATTTCAGGCTATAACAATTTCTGCTCTGATTTATGGACCACAGAAAAAAAAGGAATATTTTAATCATGTTCTTCCGCAAAACGGCTGCTGCAGATTGGCTTCTGATAAGTCAAAATGTATGCATTGTTCAATGTCCCTATATAAAAATGTGCAGTGTCACTACAAACACTACTGCGATCTGCGTTGATTTTTTTTATTTGACAAAATGTCCGTGTTAGGTCGGGTCCTGATTGGTCGACATTTAGATATTGACCGATGTTATAGATTTGGTTTGTAGATTATTATGTAGGATTGTCAACGGTTAGCCGGTTAACCGGTTACTAGGGCGAACGACCACAAACCGGTTACCAAAATCCCTAACCAAAAAGTCGGACATTTACTTACCCCTTTTGGGAGCCCCATGTTTCCCTGGCTTAGACCACGGACTTGGAATGTATTTGCAATCCAATTTAAATACTGACAAAGAGATGTCGCCAACATCATAACAACATCTGAAAAGATTTTAAAAGGAAGCCAGAATACAAAGCTGATATATCAAATTTCAGATAGAACGCGCCTTTACCTGAGAGAAACGTTTTTCACACAAATTTTGTTCTAAAGAATAATATTACCGGAGATCATTTCGAGTACAGGTAACTGTAATTTAATCCGTCTTACTGCATTGCGACATTCATTGTCCATGAAATGCAACTATTTACTGTGTTAACTTTGAAATACACGAGTAAACTATCATGCTAATCAATATATATGTTTGTGGTGTAAATACGTTTTAAATAGAACATTTTCCAAACATATAATGTATTTGCTGCTGTTTATTTTTAGTCCCCTACCGGTGAAACCGGGGGTCTGTAGGTTTCCTCTCCGTCCGTCTGTGTACGTCCGTACGTAACACCAATGTTTGTCAGCGCTCTAGCGGCTTCATTCCTCGGGGGATTTTTATCAAACGTCACACAAATACAAAGGACCATAATATCTCGGACAAGTTCGAATTTCAGAGTTGTTAGGTCAAGGTCACTGTTACTATTTTTAGAAAATCTTTGTCAGGGCTTTAGCGGCTTCATTCCTTGAGGGATTTGGATCAAACTTCATACAATTACAAATTAACGAACCATAAATATCTCGGACAAGTTTGAGTTTCAGGGTTGTAGATTTGAGGTCAAGGCCACCGTTACTATTAATACAAAATCATGGACAAGTTGAAGCCAGTGATGGACTGATGATCGATATATAATAATCGAACATAGATCGATTTGTCCTGTTCGATTCCGATATATCGATAACAAATTCCATAATCGATATAATCGGTTCATTACTGAACTTAAAGTGTCAAATGTGTATGTAATATACAGTATACATGGAAATTCGTTTATTCTGATTTTTTTTTTTAAAATATGATTGATGGTAATGTAAAATAGAAAAAAATACATTAAATTCAGGTACAAGCTAATTGTATACTTTTCATTTTCCCAAATTAACACCAAAGGACACCATTTTTTATGAATCATTACGGTGGTAGCTAGCGGGACCGGTAGGGGACTTGTATTGCTAAAGCAATACTCAGTATGCTTGTTTGACTACCAAATTGACGGATTAACCGGTTACTTGATCGGTAGAAGAGTAACCGGTTACTTGATCGGTAGAAGAGTAGCCGGTTACTTGATCGGTAGAAGAGTAACCGGTTACTTGATCGGTTGAAGAGTAACCGGTTACTTGATTGGTAGAAGAGTAACCGGTTAATAAAATAAGACCTGTTTGACAACCCTAGTATTATGGCATTGCGATCATTTTCTGATGCATCACTTGCGACTACTGGGTTAGTTTCTTTGAGCAAGATACCTTACTCCGCTTGCTCCAGTCTACTCAGCTGTAAATAAGTATGTAGTTGGCGAGTGCTGGAATTTTTGAATGCTAGATATGTAAGTGCCGAAATGGCAGCACCGGCTGTATGCGACCAAGGGAAATGCGAAAGATATTGGCAGGTTGCAAAGGCCCTATAACCACGGATAATAATTTGTGAACCGCTTTGAAACGACCTACGAACTAGGTTGTGATAAAGAACCTTGAATTATTATTATTATTATTAATACTATGTATTATATATTCAGTTAGATCTTTTCGTGTGGCCAATTTAATTAATATTTTGCTCTTATTGACTTGTTTTGCTAGTTTGTCTGAATGAACATTGCTCATATATCTGATGATATATGTAGGATGTCAATTTGGTGAAATTTATGACGGAGAAAGTGCATGAGAAATGTAGTCAAACACTTGAATGTATCCCTAACAACGTTGACATGTCAAAGTGACAAACAGTTGCGGAAATGGTTGGTACATGTATATCGGAGTGATCAGGTGGCTCCGAGAGTCAGTCCACAGTTGTTTAAGACCTTCCTTGATGTGTAGGGAATATAATAACACGGTAAAATGTAGGTTTTTTTTGTCGCCTGCGAAAAGCTGGTGACACAAAGGTATTGCTTTGTCGGGTCGTCGGCGGCGTCGTCCGAACAGAGGTTTTCGTGCGATTACTTGAGTTTCCTTGGGCCGATCAAACTCAAACTTCATGCAGTGCTTCCTTACCAAAAGTGCTTGCTTGGGATTGCTTTTCAGGTCCGAAGATCAAAGGTCAAGGTCACTGTTACTATAAATAGAAACTTCACTAAAACTGTATACTGGACGGCTTCGATCTACCACTTGACCCACCGTGTATACCTCTGAAATGCCGTCTTACTCCAAATGTTATTGACAACACTAGCTGTTTAACATCATAATCCACAAGTTTATTCATTTATTTATGGGAAACCATCCGACAAATCATACAAATTAAACTTGGAATTGAGACAATGAGTATCCATAGCAAGTTCCTTAAAACTCAGAGTATTCTTCCCAGAATAACAGATTATATAACAAAATGATGCCATCCAAAAACATAATCTATGATTATTGCTTACTTTTAACATTATTTCTTGAAATGAAAAGTGTATCTATTTCTTCGTAATCTCCCAGCTTCCTGCGCAGGCGACACATCCACTTCCGTGGAATTCTTGTTATCAACATCAGATAAACACGTGGAGAATATGTATCCGTTGTCGTGGCTGTTTGTACATCCTGTGTCGTGGCTGTTTGTACATCCTGTGTCACAGCTCTGTGCGGATGCAATCACTGATTGTCACTGACACAATGCATAAGAGGGGAAGTGTATTTGTAAACAATCGAGTTCAGTCGACTGTCCTAAACGAACTTTTGTTTCTCAGTGAAGTTTTACGTGTGACAACATATGAAGCTGTAATTTTGCATTCGCCTCGGTTTAACGAACGTTTCCATTTAGCTTAACTTAAGGCTGTTTCATAGTTATAGCTCAGCATTTCTCTGTAGGAAAACTTCAAACGATGTTTTGTTAAACTAGATTCTGTCTAGTAAGTAGGTTGAAATAAACGAACAATGAATGAATATACTAATCAGTATATCATATATAATACTTAGCCGGGGGAAATAAAATATTTGGAAAAAAAATGAATGATGAATGAAAGATTGACGAATAATCAGCTGAATATAGGAATGAAACTATTGAATGAACAATTGATTGAAGGAACGAATGAATGAGTGAAAAATGAGCGCCTGAACGAATAAGCAAAAAAAAGAAGAATGAAAGACCCATAATTTAATTGTGTGACAGGTAACGAACGACTGAAGTTAAATAGCTTGCTGCATGGATTTAAGTCCTTTTGTGAAATAAGTTAAACATGTCAGTTTATGACTAGGGACGGTGAACGGCGATGAATGTACATGTACCAGGTGTGTATTAAACACTGTTAAACTTCCATTGGTGTTGTCTTTTCTGAAAATAATAAAGCATAGTCTTGTTTTCGTTATATGTTTCACGAGCGGAATGAATATTTTGTTATTTTTTACGAGTGAAAAAAAAAGAAGTAAAACATTCGAACCACAAGTCAAAGCGCAAATGACGTCACACCTTCTTTGTTAATTTACAAAAGAAACCTCAGCTCTCTGATTGGCCGGTTTAGTGTGAT